CTTCATCTGTGTTCCAGTTTCCCCTGGCTTCTTTTGAGTTGCCATTCTGGTGTCCTGGGCAATGTACAATTTCCAGTGTGATTGGTAGCTACATGGCTTTCAGCAAAGCCAATTTTTCGAGGTGGGGGCTTTGTTTTTGTGGGTTTTTTTTCTTTCTTTCTGATGTTAGAAGGTCTCCCTTACCATGTGGAACCATGCACATGAGTACTGGCCAATGTGTATCTGCTGTCTGTATAGACAGTCACCCATTTTCCTCTGCCCAGCGGAGTGCCTTGATCAGAGCCACTAGCTCACCCTTTTGGGCTCAGGTATTGCACAGTAACAGTGCTGACCAGATTAGTGAATTTAGAGAAGCAACGGCAGCCACTGTGTACCTGGTGCAACTCTCGAAGAAGCTGCTTCCACTCACAAACAGCTTAACTTTGGCGTTTAGAAGGAGCACGTCCATAAGATCCGGTATTACCATGTGAACCTTCTCAAGCACCTCTGTGCAGTGATGGTCCACTTCTGCTTCTGGAAAGAGAGTGACTGGATTTAAGAGAGAGGCTTTAAGGAACCATATTCAAGGTTGATCTAGTAGAAGGGCTTGATCAGGTGGGCTTCCGAGTAATGCTTCTACTGTGTGAACACAGCCAGTTCTTGACCCATGGACAGTTTTGTCAGCCTCTTTAACTAAAAGGGCTGTGGTGGCCACTGGCCTGAGGCATCGGGCCTATTCAGATGCCATGGGGTCTGGTCTTTTTCCCAGGCCACTCTGGATTGATTATACACAAAAAGAAGGAAGGGTTTAGAGACACCAGGTAGGACAAGAGCTGGAGCTTGCACGAGAGCCTGCTTTAAGTCTGAAAAGGTCCTCTGTTCAGCCTCTGCACATTCCAAAGCTCAGTTTCCTTTTGTGGCTTAATTCAAGGGTTTGGCTATTTCTGGAATGCCCCAAATCCACAGTCTGAAATAACCAACCAATCCTAGGAATTTTCTTACCTGACATTTGTTGATAGGCACAGGAATGGCCGTGATGGCTCCCAACCTTGAGTACTGGCAAGAGAGGGGTGTTCCATGGGGACTGACACTTGGTTAAGATTCCTGCTGTTAAGAACGATCTGATGTGTGGGGTGATGCCTTAGCCTCCTAGGCCATGGGGTATTGTTTACCTGGATTGGTGACATGTTAGCCTTAAGATGCACTACTATGGGAGGCTGGTGTAACAAATACTCCTCAGACAGGGGCAGGTTGGTAGGATAGTGGGTGACAGAACTGAAAAACAGGACTCCTGGCATTTGAAGGAGATAGTAGCATAAAGCTTTGTGGCCCAACCGTGGTTAGGGACAATCAGGCATTAAAATGAGAGAGTGAGTTACAGTGTGGTTCCCCAGATTGACAATTCTCTGCATGGTTCCGTGACCCCAAGTGTTTTCTGTGGTTCCCTGGACCACCACGGAATCGAAGGACATTAGTCCCAAGGTGAGGTTAGGATAGAATGAGTTATTCCTGTGTTTACTAAAAACTAAGTGGCTTTCCCCCCACCCGACACCCACCCCTCTTTTGTAGAGCTGAAATCTGTATTTATTGACCTGAATTTTAATTTATACTCTTTGCATAACATCTGTAAGGTGTTTACATTAATAGTGCCAGTTTTGCAGGACAGAATAAGTCTTTCAATATTGCAATGATTTCATTTATTAATCATTTTATTGGGCTCTCTTCCAAATCTTATGACAATCCATCATTCAATTGTATTAAGCACACTTGTACATATGTTGCCAT